CCCAATGGCTGCACGGCTTCAGTTGCTAGTTCCTGAATTTTCACATAGTGTTTTCAGGATTGGTGTCCACATAGATGACTATGCCCTTATTATTAAACTGTGAAGAGGAAAATGATCCATAAGACTGCTCAGCCATTTATTTTGTATATGAAAAGAGGTGATTTTTAACAGAACTAAGAATATTGGCATCAAGTAACTTCCTCTAAAGATGACCCTAACCTCAGCCTATCATTTTGTCTTACCCCAAATGTCACCTCAGCATGTAGCCCCTTCTTACCCTCTTGACCCACAACAGTGTTTATGTCTTCACTAATCTCGCCACTATCCACGTAATTTGGTGGTGTATAGTTTCGTTGTCTCTTCCCACCTTCTCCCCACCAGAACGTGAACTGTGTGCGTTTAGCATCCACTGCTCTGTCCTGCAGTTCCCAGCCCTGAGATCAGTGCTTGGCACACAGTAAGATCTCTGTACTAACAGTGGGGTTGCATGAAGGTTGTCTCATCCCATGGGACACATCTGACTCTCTCTGCCGTGTCCAGGTGGCTTCTCATCATGGAAGAAGAAAACTGGTATTCTTTACATCAATGACCCAAGCTTGCTGACCTCCAAGAACAACAGCACTTCCTAAACCCCCTTTTCCCTCCATAATGCTCCTTTGGAAAGGTATAATTCAGTGAAAAAGAAATGAGCATGCTACCTCAACTGGTCTTTATGCTACAATAACACTGAAATTTCTGTGTGTTCTAAGCAGGTGCTCTATGTCAAGTCCCCATCTTATGTGTTGTAATCAATAACTGTCTAATAGGAAGGATGCTGGCAGAAGCAGAGGGAAATCTGCCTGCACAAAGCACCTTGGAGATACACACACACACACACACACACACACACATATATATCTGCAAAGAAGCAGTAATCAGGGCCTCTCATATGAAGTCTTTGAAATTCAATGAAAAAGCTGAAAGTGCATGTAATTAGAACAGCATCACCACACAAAGCAGATAAAGTTAATTATACACTCGGAGGGACATTTCTTTATGCAGTGGATATGGGAGTCATATCAACAGCCCTTGGGCCAGGACAGGGAGCTGAGTGTGCTCTGCTCAGAATGAAGGAATCCAGTGCTCTAAACTAGAGCATCCTTTCTAGAGCCAAATAATCTAACATAAAAGGAAAGTACAAAAGCTGAAAAGGAGGAAGAGAGCCGTGCGTGATAGGTTCTATATGAAAAGGGCTCACAACAGTGATAAAAAAGAAAGTGTGATTTTAAAGCAAGTCCTAAAACCAGAGCAAATAAAAAAAGATACATGTGTACTTAATTTACCATATTCTCTTCCCATTAAACACTTTAATCTTGCCATGGGGCAAGATTCTACCGAGAGATACATACTTATCTTCTCTCTGTGAGACCATGAAAGCCCCAGAATTGAAGCTTCAAGAAGGATCTTCGGAAAACTAGTTAATCCAGTCAAATTGAGTTAATGGCCACAAAGAGATTGATGGAATTGGTGATTTACTGTTCAATAATGAGTTGTCAATACAGGGCAGAGAAGCTGCTTTGATCAACCAGGCAACCAAATCATAGCAACAGTTCAGGGCTCCGTTGATTTCTCAGCAATTAATGGTAATGATGCTAAAAAGGAAAAGAAAAAAGATATCTGACCAGAAATTGTTCTCTGTGTGGAGCAGAGAGGCTGACAGCAGGGTTCGTGTCTGGCCTCGGAGGTCATTTGCACCTGGAATAGCCATGAGTCACAGAAACCTCTGTAATTTAGATCCACTGGCAATTGCAACCTTAATTTGATTATGACTCTATACTAGAAGAATTAGAATCCAAAATATACCAGTCACATATAATTTAAACTACACTGACTATATACAGATTTTCCTTTAAACATGAGGTTTTCATCGTATATAAATTCTTGTCACATAAAGATATATTTAACTATTTAAACATTTCATGTGGAAAAATCCATACAAACATGTAGAAAAATAAACAAGGGGGGAAACTGCAACACTTGACAATCAATGTCTTCAAAATCTGAAGAAGGCTTACGCATCAGTGAGGAAAGATTCCATAGAGAATGGACCGAGTTAAATGGGAATTCATAAAAGAGGAAATATGTCTGGTTAGTCCCAATGTTAAAATAAACAAACAACCTGACTGATGATAAAAAGAAGTGCAAAGGAAAAGCAACACTGAAACTGTTAGCGAAACCTAAAATAGTTGAGAGAGGCATATTGGGAGACAGGTCTGATGGGGTTCAGGATATGCAACCCCAAAGTATGGCACCTTGTCATTTGATGAAAACTAGAAGCAGGAAGGTCTCTCTCACCTTGCCCTTCCACACCAAAGGTCATAAAAGCATCTTCTAAAGTAGATCATAAGCGCATCATTCCAGGGATGCCCTCTCTATACCCAAAGGAAAGACATGTCCTTGTATCTGAAGATATAGCAACACAGAGAAGAATCGCCGAACAAATAAGACTTGCTAAGTTCCCCCAGCTATCAACATTAGATCACACCCCCTTTGTCATCACACCCCATGCTTCTACACAAGTGTCAATGCTTCACCAAATTTAGCTTAAAAATACACAGGTTTCGGTTAGACATGGTAGCAACACCTATAATCCCAGCACTTTGGGAGCCTGAGGCAGGAGGACTGCTTGAGGCCAGCAGTTTGAGAATGGCCTGGCCAGCATAACAAGACCTTGTATCTACAAAAAGTTAAAAATTAGCTGGGTATGGTAGTAGGAGGCACCTGTACTCCCAGCTACTCTGGAGGCTGAGATGGGAGGATTACTTAAGCCCAGGAGTTTGAGGTTGCTGTGAGTTATGATGATGCAACTGCACTCCAGCCTGGGTGACAGAGAGGTATCTCATCTAAAACAACAACAACAACAAAACACACACAGAGACACGCACACACACAATTTTCCCCATTTCTTTAGGTCTTCATTTACAAAGGCTCTCATGTCACATAAAATTTATATTTAAATGTGTATGTTTTTCTTCTGTTTATCTTTTATTATAGGTGTCTCAGCCATCAACCTTACAGTGAGTGAGGAAAAGATATTGCTTCTTTTCCCACAGGCCCTATGTTCAATATTGGTGGGGATATAAATTAATACATAGTATATCATTTATGGAAAAATAATTCATATAATCCTTGCAGAATATATCAAAAGGAAAAAGGTTAAAACTCTCTTGTTCAATAACTGCACCTTAGGGAGTTAGATGAAGAAGTAGTTACACGAGGGTGAAAGTGTAACTTTCAATGCACCCAGACTACTGATGCCACATATTTAATGAGAAAAACTAAAAATGATCCAAATTAAAATAGCAGTTAAGGATTGATGGGGGAAAGTTGGTACATAAACAGAATGGAATCCTGTCTGGTTGATCTATATTTATTGGCAGGACAAGATATCTACAACACAAGGTGGAAAGAACACAACACAATTGAAAAGTGCAAGTGTAGAATGATGAGTTTTAACAAAGGTGTGCTTCTCTAGAATGTATTCATAAGTTTCAAACACAGGGGCTTTGCAATCTACTCTGCTGATACCCTGGTGTGTAAAACAGTGCCTGGAACTTTGTAATCATGCCACCATGTTTGTTGAATGAATAAATGAAAGATCTTTAGAAAGTTTTTCACTAAAATTTAACAGTGGTAGAGAGCTAGTAGTTTTTTCATTGACATTTAAATTCTATCATTTGAATTGTCTTCAAAATGCTTATTTCCTTGTGACAAAAACAAATACTCTTTCTAAAATGTGTGGTAATGCCCACTGCTTGTGAGACTGTAGCAGTTTCCAGCAGTTTCAGTGGCTGTACAAGGTGGTTCAACTCTTTTAGAAAACCATTTGATATTAAATATACCCAAATTTCAAAACTCTTCCTTTCTTTTTCTTTTATTCCTTCATGTGAATTTATGCTAAGGAAAAAAAATGCCAAATATGAAATGATCTGTGCATCTAAAGGTCTTTCTTTACTTTTGTATTCGGATAATAAAAAACCTGGCCAAAATAACCACACCTCTAACGGAGGAAAGAATAAAAGTAAATTATGGTAAATCCATTATATGGAATTTTATGGAATCATGACCAATTATGAAGACTCTGTATCAACACGAACAAAAGAAGGCTGAAAATGCATGTAAAGATTTAATTTATGCAGAAACAAAAAGATGATGCTGTTGTATCAAAACTGTGGAATTCTGGGTGCAGCAATTCTTCTAATTGCTTAAAGAACGTGGACTTTGGGGCCATAGACAGGAGTTTTTATTTAGGCCCTGCTACATAGCCTTTACATGACGTTGTTTGATTATGTTGTCAAAACTCTTTGTGCCTCACTTTTCTCATCTATGATGTGGGCTAAGAGTACTACCGCCTAGCTCTGAGAGGGTTCAAATGAGCTGAGGAAGAGTTTGAAAAATTGTGGTGTTCATTTGTTTTGCTACTGCTATTAGTCTTACTTCATTTTCAAAATTTTCCCCCCAAATTACCATCTTCTATAAATTACAAATGAATGAAAAGTAAAATAACTAAAAACTAAGGAAGAGATTTAAAAAATAGAAAATTTTTGGAGGTGGGCACTCTATCCTGGGACTTCACGGGACCTTGAGCGAGGAAAAACCGCCGACGACCACATGGGGGCGCAGGCGCTCAATCTGGGCGAGGCTTTCCGGCGGTGTCCAGCAGGGGACGCTGCCGGAGGCGGCGCCGGCCGGAGCGGAAGCCGTGCCGGAGACGGCCAGGCGCACTCGCTGGCTCCTCCCGCTTCCGCCGCCGCAGTGGGTTCCTGCCGGGTTACTTTCTGATCTAAGCTGCTGTCCCCGCCGCCGCGATGCCGCTGGAGAATTTGGAAGAGGAGGGTCTGCCCAAGAACCCCGACCTGCGCATAGCGCAGCTGCGCTTCCTCCTGAGCCTGCCGGAGTACCGCGGGGACACGGCCGTGCGCGACGAGCTGATGGCGGCCGTCCGAGACAACAGTGAGACCCGCGCGAGCGCCGAGTCAGCGGCCTAGGCTTGGGCTGGCCTCGCGATCCGGAACCTGCGGGAATTTTCCCTAGTGGAGCTCTGGCCGCCGAGGCGTCCCTCTGGCGGGGTCCCCGAGACAGGCCAGGCTTTGGGAGCCTTCCTTTTGTTGGGGATGTCCTGGGGGAACCCGCCTACTCGCAGAGGAGTCTGCATCTCTGAATGTCCTTCCCCTTTGGAGGGTAGCTTTAGGAGAAATTGAGGTATTTAGAGCAGTGCTAGCCCCAGCGCAAAGGTAGAGTGACTAATAAGCCCCTTCAGGGCTGCTCCCGGGCGAGGTGTAGTCCTGTGGAGGAGGTAGAAGAAATGTGAGCTTAGTTCCTTTCGTCCTTCGTAGCAGTGAATGGCAGTCGGTGGTGTATATTGAATATATGTACCTGAGTAGCAACAGCCTTGTTTGAAGACTGCTTTGGAACAGAATCCGGAGAGCAAACCGAGGATTGCCCGCCCCAGGCCTGGCAGAGGTTGGCGGTGCCAGGATTGGCCCTCATGCAGACCTCCCACCAACAGGCGTTTACGTTTTGTCGAGCATTTCAGAAGCCCTATCCATTCCTTCCCAGTGGTGGGTAGGGGACAGATGAATGGCCTCACAGCGTTTGTGGGTAAGAGGTGGGCAGACACTGACTTCAGGATGCAAGTGGCTCCCACTCATTCATCTCTTTTCTCCCTTTAGACATGGCTCCTTATTATGAAGCCTTATGCAAATCCCTGGACTGGCAGATGGACATGGACCTACTCCATAAAATGAAGAAGGCAAATGAAGATGAGTTGAAACGTTTGGATGAGGAGCTGGAAGATGCAGAGAAGAATCTGGGAGAGAGTGAAATTCGAGATGCAATGATGGCAAAAGCCGAGTACCTCTGCAGGATAGGTGACAAGGTGAGTGCAGAGTTTCCTTTTTGTAGTTGTATAGTCTAAATTGAGAACCATTCCAGATTAAGAACATCTCATTTTAAAATTTAACTTTTTTTAAAAAAAAAAAGTACAAAGGTAATCATACTTACCTGAAGGAATCAACATAAAGATGAATGAAGAAAAAATAGCCTTCTTGCAATACCCTATCATCTGCCCCCAGACAGGAGCCAAATCTGTATTCTTCTGCAGCTGTCTCCATGCCAATAGAAACATGAGTGCCCATGCAGAAATTTTTATTTCAGCTTTTACAAAATTGGAATCGTTTTCTTTCCTTATTTGGTTGGGAAGCATTGTTTCTGGTCCCGTTTAAAAATTCTTACTAGTAGGGCAGTGCCTGTGGCTCAGTGAGTAGGATGCAGGCCCCATATACCGAGGCTGGTGGGTTCAAACCCAGTCCCGGCCAAACTGGAACAACAACAACAAAAATGGCCGGGTGTTGTAGTGGGCGCCTGTAGTCCCAGCTACTCCGGAGGCTGAGGCAAGAGAATCACCTAAGCCCAAAGAGTTGGAGGTTGCTGTGAGCTGTGACGCCACAACACTCTACCGAAGGTTAATAAGTGAAACTCTGTCTCAAAAAAAAAAAAATTCTTATTAGTAATATATTCCTTGTAGAAATTGGAAACATTACAGTAAATGCTGAAAGTTCTGTTTGATGTCTTTACTGCCCACCTGCTCAGAGATAACCTTTTTAGTTTATTGTGCATTTACATGCATGTATATATACCATAAAAAATAGGTAGTATTTAAAAAAATTTTTTTGCATATATGGGATCATAGTGTACTCACGTGGTCTTGTTTACCCTTTTCATTCAGCCTTATATCTGAGAGGCATTTGTGTTAATGTACATAAATTTTGCTCATTCTGGCTCATTGCTAGAGCTATGCCACAGTTTGCCTGTTCTGCTGTCTATGAACATGTATGTTGTTTTTAGCTGGTTTTGCTTTAATAGCTGCTATAAAAATACGCTTTTGTACATCATCTTGTGTACAAAGCAAATGTTTTCTCTAGCATGTAGTTGATATGAAATGAAATTGCTGGGACAATGAACAATTTTTATTTTGATGTGTGGCAAGTTCCATGTAATAGCCAGCTTGTGAATACTCCACCATTAGTGTTCCAGAGGAATACTCATCAGTGCTGGATATTTAAATTTGGTTTAGTAGTTATGTAATAATGGGAGAGAATGGGCTTTCAGTGTTCTTAAGTCCTACACACAGAAGTATTTATCAATAGGATGACATGAGAATAGTCTGAGCTCTTAGACTGGACTACTTGGATTCTATTTCTAGCTTCAGTAATTATGATTTACTAAACCCTCAGTTTCCTCATGAAAAATAGGGAAAATGACAGTTTCTACTTAATTTCAATTAAAGGTGGGGCAAAGAGTTTAGACTAGTACTTGGCACAAAGTAAGTGCTTAAATGTCATGTAATTTAAGACTTGCTCATTGTAAAAATTTCAAAAATACAGAATTAAAAATAGTTTGTGTTTATATAGGTTGTATGTATTCATGGTTTGGTTTCAAAGATTATTACATGGGAATGAGAAACTAAAAGCTTTTGGTTCAGGGCTTAAGGAATTTCAATAAGGACATGCTTGAGTCAAGGGGTTGTAAACTGATCATGTTCTAATATTCCCTCTATATTTATTATTTTTCCAGAAAGAACAAGTTTATCTTTTCTCTGCCTGTTTGCCCTCTTTTGTTTTTTATATTTGACTTTATTTAGAATTATTAGCTACCTTCATGGATTAATATGATTTATTATTCAGTGTGTTACCATTGATGATAGTCTTTATTCTTTGTGGTGCTCAGTTTGCTATATGTTTGTTAGTGCAGGCTCCTTCAAGATTTTTTTTTTGGCCTTTTGGTGTATCTCATTGGTCTTCCTCATTTTATAGTAAAACAACACAGGTAGCCCAGGTGTCGTGGCTCATGCCTGTAATCCTAGCACTCTGGGAGGCCTAGGTAGGTAGATCGTCTCTACTAAAAATAGAAAACTAGGTGGCCAGGGTGGCAGTCGCCTGTAGTCTCAGCTACTAGGGAGGCTGACGCAAGAGAATCACTTGACCCCAAGAGTTTGAGGTTGCTGTGAGCTATGACACCATGGCACTTTACCCAGGGTGACAAAGTAAGACTCTGTCTCAAACAGAAAGACAAGATAGGTGTCTCACAAGCTCAAACTCTGGATTATTTTTAGTAGTTTTAGTTTTCATTCTTCAAACCTGGAGTCATCCATTTCTTCTAGGGGTCCCTGATTCCCTTAGTGGGGGATGGCATTTGGAGACCAGGATCTGAGTGTCAGATGTACTCATTGTTGCCTTGCCAGTCCCTTTTATAAATTTAAGAACTATAACTAATAATTATATAAACTGGGCAGACACATACTGAAAAGTACTAAATATAAACAAATGATTTTATTTATGTTCTTTAAAGCCAAAGAAACATTTTATTTGGGATAGAATTGTGTATTTGCAAACTGAGTTAGTAGTCTATAGTAAGTGTGATAGTATGAAAGATAAGATTTCCAAAAATTCTTTTTTAATTTACAGTCAAGTTACTTTGAATTAGTGTTAAAGGAAAAAAACATTGAATATATGAAACAAAGAAAAATACTTAAAAATTGAGAATAAATTATGAATGTTTTTCTTAATATTGTTTTCTAGAATATAGGCATTTATGTCAAGGGTTGGGGTACTGACCTCACATGTGGTTGAAAATCCACATATGACGTTTGATTCCCCCAAAACTTTACTATTAGGTAATTGTTGACCAGAAGCCTTACTGGTAAGTAGTTGATTAACACATTATTTTTTTTGAGACAGTCTCAAGCTGTCACTCTGGGTAGAGTGCTGTGGTGTCATAGCTCACAGCAACTTCAAACTCTTGGGCTTAAGCAATTTTCTTGCCTCAGCCTCCCAAGTAGCTGGAACTACAGACACCTCCCACGGCGCCCGGCTATTTTTTTGTTGTTGCAGTTGTCATTGTTTTAGCTGGCCCGGGCCAGGTTCGAACCATCTAGCCTCAGTGTATGTGGCTGGTGCCCTACCCACTGAGCTATGGGCACTGCCCGATTAACACATATTTTTATGTTACATATATTATTATTGTTTGTTTTAGAGACAGAGTCTCACTTTGTTGCCCTCTGTAAAGTACGGTGATGTCATAGCTCACAGCAACCTCAAATTCTTGGGCTCAAGCAATCCTCTTCAGCCTCCCAAGTAGCTGAGACTACAAGCACCTGCCACAACACCCAGCTATTTTTTTAGAGACAGGATCTCACTTTTGCTCAGGCTGGTCTTTGAACTAAGCTCAAGCATTCCAACCACCACCTCAGCCTCCCAGAGTGCTAGGATTATGGGTATGAGCCATTGTGTATGTTACATATATTTTATTAATATATACCATATGCTTACAATTAAGTAAGCTGGAGAAAATGTTAAGAAAACCAAGAGGAAGAGAAAAATACAGTTTCTACTCATTAAGTGGAAGTGGATAATTATAAAGGTCTTCATACCCTGTCACTGAGTATGCTGAGATGGGAGGAGAGGTTGGTTTTGCTGTCTCAGGAGTGGCAGAACCAGAAGAAAATCCACATATGTGTGAATGCCTGTAGGTCAAACCTGTGTTGTTCAAGGGTCATCTGTACTGTATAGAAGTATAAAATAGTGCAGTAAACCCATGTGTGCTTATCACCCAGCTTCAACAGTTACCAGTTAATGGCCATCTTGTTTTATCTTTATCCCTACCTGCCCTCCCCCCCCCCTTTGAATAAAATCCCAGACAGATGATAGTTTTGAAAACTTGTAACCTTTCTCATCTGTTGCATGGCTTTCCTGACAGGAGGGAGCTCTGACAGCCTTTCGCAAGACATATGATAAAACTGTGGCCCTGGGTCACCGACTGGACATCGTATTCTATCTCCTTAGGATTGGCTTATTTTACATGGATAATGATCTCATCACACGAAACACAGAAAAAGCCAAAAGGTAGTTTTTAGCAGTGGGGATGTATTCCCTCTAAATTGTGATTGTTATAAATGAGAAATGGATAAGAAATTTGCCACTTCATTTATAACTAGTAAATTTGGTTAGATAATAATGTAATTATTTAGTGAAATATTTTCTTTAGGTTCAAGTGGTTAAAAGTTGTTTTCTCTTTGAAAGTAACACAAAATTTTTAAAAAGTAGTACTGTCTGCTTCTAAATTATGATCTTGTTGTTTTTGTTTAACAGCTTAATAGAAGAAGGAGGAGACTGGGACAGAAGAAACCGCCTAAAAGTTTATCAGGGTCTTTATTGTGTGGCTATTCGTGATTTCAAACAGGCAGCTGAACTCTTTCTTGACACTGTTTCAACATTTACATCCTATGAACTCATGGACTATAAAACGTTTGTGACTTATACTGTCTATGTCAGCATGATAGCTTTAGAAAGACCAGATCTCAGGGAAAAGGTAATGCCTAAACCTTTAATACTCACATGTAAAGACTGCCCCATGATTTTCTAATTCAAATACCCAAAGACCATTGAAGTTTTTTTTTTTGTTGTTTTTTCCCCTAACTACCTAGGTTATTAAAGGAGCAGAGATTCTTGAAGTCTTGCACAGTCTTCCAGCAGTTCGGCAGTATTTGTTTTCACTCTATGAATGTCGTTATTCAGCTTTCTTCCAATCGTTAGGTAAAGACAGAGTTGCTTATTTTGATTATCTGTCTTCATCTTACTCCTGATTCTATGTGCAAATAACCTAAGATGATTTTTCACGTATCTGAAAAATGGAGTGTGTAGATAGCTGCAGGTCTTTGATCAGTATGGCTAATTAGCCCACTTTTGTTTAGAAAGGGAGTGTGCAAACAAGAGGGGCCTGTTTTTATATGGCTCAAGTGTATGAATGATTTTTACATGGTTAGAGTGTTGTTTAAAAGAAAGCATATGTAGTAGAGAGAGAGATGGCTTACAAAGCCTGAAAATATTTACTGTCTGACACTTTGCTGAGGATTTTGCTGGACCCCTGGTTTATAGTCTTTTAAGGCAGAAGTGAGCAGGAGTCCTCAAACTTTTTAAACCGGGGGCCAGTTCACTGTCCCTCAGACCACTGGAGGACCGGACTGCAGGCCCCGGGAAGAGTCAGCTACTAAGCAGGACAGGCAGCGGCAGCAAAAATACCCAGTGGGCCGCATGTGGCTCATAGGCTATGGTTTGAGGACGCTTGGGTTATAAGTATTAAGCTTTGTGAGGAAATTCTGAATTTGATTTTGGGTTGGGTTGAGATAAATTGAGAATTGAATTCAACAATGGGTTATTCCTTATGCAACAGCTAAATCTTTGTGTTGATTTATTTGCAAATCATTTTCAAGGGCTATAGGTACTCCAAATGATGATTCCAGTTTTGCATTGGGTTTTGGCCCAGTGCTTATGGAACACTTTCTCCCTATGTACAAGTTAGGCAGCCTTCTGAGAATTCATACTACTTACTACATGTGGTAGTAGGTACAGGGCTCTCTCTCCAGCATGAGTGCTTTAGCCTTTCATACATACATGGCTGCTTTTGCACAAAAGGTTATACTGTAGCATTGCTTTTTCCCTCCTTTTATGCTTGGGGTCTCCTGGTCATCACTGCTTACCTCAATCAGAACAAATCTCATCTCTGCATTCCTGGAGCTCTTATTTTATGCTCCATCCTTTAAAAGTAATTGAGTCATTTAAATTTTAAAGTGCACAATTTGGTAGTTTTTAATAATATTGACAAGGTCGTGCAACCAGTCTTGATTCCAGAACATCTTCCCCAAAGAACGCCCGTATTCATTAGCAGTCACTCTCCATTCCTCCCTCCTCCCAGTCCTTGGCAATCACTAATCTACTCTCTGCCCTCTATGGACTTGCCTTGTGTGGACATTGCTTGTTAGTAGAAGCAAATGATATGTGGCCTGCTGCTGCCTGGCTTCTTTCTCCATGTGTCAGTACTTCATTTGGTCTTCTGGCCAAATGATAGTTCATTGTATGGTTATACCACATTTTATTTATCCATTCCTTTGTTGATAGACCTCAGGGTTGTTCTTTTTGGCTATCATGAATAATTCCAATAAAGATTTGTCTACAAGTTTTTGTGTGGATGTGTTTTCGTTTCTCTTAGTTTATATACCTAGGAGTAGAATTACTGGATTGTAAGGTGACACTTTGATTGACTTCTGAGGACTTGCTAGATGATTTTCTCCAGTAGCAGCGCTATTTGACATCCCCACCTGCAGTGTGTGAGAATTCCAGTTCCCCACCACGCAGAACTTGTTATCCTGTGTCTTTTTGAGTGTAAGCATCTTAACAGATAGGAAGTAGTGATTTTGATTTGTGTTTCTCCACTGACTAGTTACATTGAGCATCTTTTCATGTACTTATTTGCCATGTGCCACATATGCTAAAACTTAGGACACTGTTTTGTGATTGTTAGTTTGTCTCTTGTTGATCAGGGCAGACCATATGCTTTTTAAAATCGGATTCATACATTTTTCTGGTCTGTAATTGTACCTGCTGTTTCTCTGTTAGTATTTTCTTGTTCTTGTTAGTATTTTTTTTAAGTAAAATGAACTTTATTACTTTAAGGCAGATTTCCATGGTTAAAATATTAGTGCATGAACTTTGTCATCTGTGAACGAGATGTTAGATAGCCATGTGCTGCTTAAGCCTGGTGTTTCCTTTACCAGTACTACTTCTGCCATTGTTGATGGGATGATATGGGAAGGCAGTGAGGAATTGTCTACTTGTTTGACCTGTTGGACTCAACTAGAATTGCTTTACTTTTTAATCTTTTTATCAGAAAGAGAGATTCTTATAATTTGTCATCTTATTCATTGCAGCGGTTGTAGAACAGGAAATGAAAAAGGACTGGCTTTTTGCTCCTCATTATCGATACTATGTGAGAGAAATGAGAATTCATGCATACAGCCAGCTGCTGGAATCATATAGATCATTAACCCTTGGCTATATGGCAGAAGCATTTGGTGTTGGTGTGGAATTCATTGACCAGTAAGTGCAAATAACATGTTAATTTTTGTTGCAAAGTTGCCTTTTAATATGTGAATTGTACATTTTTTTTACCTGTTTGCATTTCCTATCTCAATTTTAAGAAAAAAAATTTTTTTTCTGAATATTATCAAAACAGGTGTGTCTGTCGCCTCTGCCTTTCTCATGGTGTGTGTGTTCTATTAACAGATGGGAAAGGTGGCTGGGCATGGTGGACATTGTGTGGACCCTGCCTGTAATCCTAGCACTCTGGGAGGCCTAGGCAGGTGGATTGCTTGAGCTCAGGAGTTCGAGCCCAGCTTGAGCAAGAGTGAGACCCCATCTCTACTTTAAAAAAAAAAAAAGAGAGAAAGAAAAACTGAAGTAAGAGGATCTCTTGAGTCTATGAGTTTGAGGTTGCTATGAGCTATGATGGTGCCATGGCACTCTGCCCATGGCAACAGAGCATGACTCTGTCTCAGACCAAAAGAAACAAAAAAACAGATGGGAAAGCTGAGCTGTAGTGAAGTTTAGTGGTTTTTTTAAAGATCATTAGACCAGTTATCAAAAGCAGTCTCCTGTCTTATAGCATAATGTTTATAGGGAAAAAAAAATCTTCTGTAACTTTTCAGACCACACTGCAGCTATAGAAATGACATAGATCCTCATACTTTACAATTGGTCATATTCTGATAATTACTTCCAATTTTTAGGTTGCTGCTACAATTCTGGTCTAATTGGTTGTTAAACATGGGATTTTTTAGCACTTGAATCAGTAATTCAACAGATACTTAGTGAGCTATTACTACATATTTAGTATTAAGTCCCCCATCTTAATGGACTTTCATTGCAGTACTAGGGAAGAGATGGCAAGTAGGCGTATAAAAAGGTGCAATTCCAGATAGCAATGAGTCTGTAGAGATAAGAAAATGTTATAGTGGCATGGAGAGACTGCTAGATACGGGGTGCCTGAAGAGGAGAGGTTTGCTCTGAGATTTGAATTGGAAGGAGTCAACCATATGGAGCCCTCCAGCTGCAAAAGAGGGGATAGAAAATGCTAAGACTGAGCTAGGGACAAGCTTAGACGATGCAAGAATACAATTGTCAGTGTGCCTACAGCAGAGTTGTGGGGACTAACAGCCAATTGTGAGCATTCAGGTTGGAGAGTTAAACTTGTGTAGGGCCTGGTTGAACATGCTGTGGAGCTTGGGGTTTAATTTACGTACTGTGGGAAGCCAGGAGAGTAACATGGTCTCATTTACACAGAACAAGGTGGCAGAGAGACCAGGGTAGTTCATGGAAGAGATGTTATGGTGGCTTGGACTGGAGTGGTGGAATGGAGTTGGAGAGAAGTGACATTCACAATATGTAACATTGAATCTAGATGAGTGGTTCTCAAACTTAGGTCTTTTAAATGTTGATGATGTTTTTAGTGGTCTACAGTGAAAACTAGTGATGTTTAATTTTAAGTGAAGCTGCATTTCATTTAAATAAGAACATTCTCTTTTTAGCAGTTTTGTTTTTTCAACATTATGAAAAATTTCAAATAAGCAAAAGATTCTAAAGAATTGTATAATAAATTTTAACATTTTGTTATACAGTAGAACTTCCATAGTTGAACCACCTCCCTACAGTGGCCACCTCCTTAAGTTGACCTAACTTTCATACACTGAACGTGCACTACATGTGCCAGCACAGTAGGCCTGTGGACTAGTTAACAGTCCTTGGAGTGGTCCGCTTACAGAGGTTCTATTGTATTTGCTTATCACAGATCCATCCATCTTTTTTTTTTTTTAGCCACTTCATAGTAAGTTGCGGATACCAGCACAGAAATATAGAAGGCTAGCATCCCCAGGTTTTCTTTCTTTTCAGTATGGGGGTTGGACTTTTTTTTGCAAGTCATTTGTGAGCAGCACATGTGAAACAGGCTGGGTGTGGCTTCTTATTCTGTCCCTTCTTCAGTTTCTTAACTGTGACAGGGAGGTGATAAAGCCTTCACTAGTTGGGGGTGTTTCAAATGCAGCTGGATGAGAAGATGCAGGAAAGTGCCATTTAGAGCAATGCTATTAAGTCCTCTTGATGGTAAGTGAATTCAAGGCAGCTGGTACCTTTTAGGTGGTCATTGAATTGTTTGGGTTTTTTCCTTCATGTTCTGAGAACAGCTGGAGAGGCAAGGGTGGTACCATTTGTGACCCAGAAAGAGCTTGTTTTGAAATTCTGTGAAACCTAGGAAGTTCAAATCTGTGTTCTTATGAGTCTCCGCCTTAAGAACTTAATTTTAGGTGAAATTCCTTTCTTAAATGGGCTATCTAATAATTCGTAAGATACTGTTGGAGAGGAAAGGGGCCATTATTTCATTAAACAGTGCTGCTGTTGACATGTTTATATACCCATGGGCTATATTCTACAATTTTGTCTGAAACAATTACTTGTACGGTTTTCCCCTGAATTTTTCCAAGCACTTCCATAGCTCTAAAGACTTGATCTGAATGGTTTTACTGTTTGTCACCTATGTTCCATCAGAGTATGAACTTCCAGGGTCATCTTTATTCTGGAAGATGATCCCAACTACTGCATATACAGTGGTCTAGGCTTGAAGGAAAATTAAATGTCACCTTGAAGGACTGTCTTAGTGTAGTCTGCATTTTTCTTAGAATTGTCCATAAAGCTAATGCTGATTTTTTTTTTTTTTTCGCTTTTCTACCTCCCTTCCCTAAATTAGGGAACTGTCCAGATTTATTGCTGCTGGCAGACTACACTGCAAAATAGATAAAGTGAATGAAATAGTGGAAACCAACAGGTACTTTTTAATATATCATTTGTTATACTGCTCAGAATAAGGGGCATTCTTAAGTGCCTACTTTTAAGTCAGCTATTGTCATGGAATAATGTGACTGGTTAAATAATTCATTTTTTTCCTTGAATTTATAGACCTGATAGCAAGAACTGGCAGTACCAAGAAACTATCAAGAAAGGAGATCTGCTTTTAAACAGAGTGCAGAAACTTTCCAGAGTAATTAATATGTAAAACCATATAACAGAGGATTTCCTTTAGAGATAATTACTTGCAATTTTTATCGTTTACTATGTTCCCACTTCAGCTGAATAAAATAAATACTACATTACAGTTTCCTTCAGTTTACTTTTTAAAAAACATATATGCCTTTAAGGATAGGGTCCAGTAATGTTAAATAATGTCACTTGGGTTATTAATGAAAAATATTTTGTCATTTGACCATCTCTGAGTTCTGGTATGATTACACACTTGAGTACTTGGGTTGAGTACTGGGTTGACACAGCCCATTATTTATTACCTTTTAGCCTCCTTTTAGAAGGAAGAGTACATGCTACACAGTAGCTCACAATTAAACAATTACCTACATAGTGTACAGAAGACATTTAAAATGTAAAATAAGCTTTCCCTCAGAAACAAGTAACCATATATGACAGTAAATCACCCCCTTTTAGGAAGCTGGTATAGTCTGGATTCCAGAATCTACCAAAGTCAATCTCACTAAACATAGATTTTTTTTTAAAACTCTTTGTAATTACTAGCAAATTGAATCTTTTTCTCCAAAAAGGAGACTAGTAATAGTGAGGAAAGCAGAATTGTTTCTTGTCTTTCAGTTACAAACTAGGTGAGTCAGAGATGAGTGCTATTAAGAAAGAAAGAGAAAGGGGATAGAGTGAAATCAAGTGTGCAAGGCTCTCTTCTAGGGAGTGTCATAGAAGGCCCTCTGGTAAGGTGATAATTAGGTTAAAGGTGGGAGAGACCATGCAAATATCTAGAAATAGAGGGTGTCTCTACAGTCACCATGCATCAGGAAAATGGAAAATTGGAGCAAATGTACATTTATAAGATTTTACAAAGTACTTGCAGAATATTCTCTATGTGTTGGCCACCTCTTCATAAAATTTTGCAATTAATATTTTGTGAATAAACACTTAGCTACAATTTTCCATTTTCCTTATGTATGGTGACTTGAGGAGCAACTTTTGGGATACCCTGTACAAAGACATGGAAAATTACTGAAAGTTTTAAACAGAGGAATGACCCGATTTGACTTACCCTTTTAACTGCCACTATGGCATTCACCTGTGGGACGCCAGATGACGGTGGCATGAATAGTAGAAGCAGCTAGATTTGCTAAAAGATAGGAATGGGGGAGGGTGAGTCAAAGGAGATCCCAGGCTTTTTGATGTAAGTGTAAAAGATGGCTGGTGACCTTGATAAGCAGTTTTGGTATAAATAAGTTAGAGTGGAAAACAGCATGTTAATGTAAAAGGCAGGGGTACGAAAGAAGAGTTTTCGTTTTGGGGTTTTTTTTTTGAGACATACTGTATGTCACCCTCGGTAGATTGCAGTGGCGTCACAGCTCACAGCAACCTCAAACTTGGTGTGTAAGGATTTTTTTTTTTTTTGGTTGTACTTGTCATTGCTGTTTGGCAGGCTCAGGCTCAATTCTAACCCACCAGCCCCAGTGAATGTGGCTGGTACCCTAGCCACTGAGCTACAGGCACCGAGCCAAACTCTTGGGCTTAAGCAGTTCTCTTGCCTCAACCTCCCAATAAAGGATTAAGAAAAGGCTCAGATTAATTCTTTTTTTTTTTTTGAGACAGGAGCCTCAAGCTGTCCCCCTGGGTAGAGTGCCGTGGCATCTCAGCTCACTGCAACTTCCAACTCCTGGGCTCAAGCGAGTCTCCTGCCTCAGCCTCCCAAGTAGCTGGGACCACAGGCGCCCGCCACAACGCCCGGCTATTTTTTGGTTGCAGCCGTCATTGTTGTTTGGCGGGCCAGGGCTGGACTCGAACCCGCCACCTTAGGTGTATGTGGCTGGTGGCTTAGCCATTTGAGCCACAGGCGCCCAGCCAGGCTCAGATTAATTCTTAACCTTCATCCTACCTGCAGGCACCCGCCACAATGCCTAGCTATCGGGACTATAGGCACCTGCCACAACACCTACCTATTTTTCTTTTGGTTGTAATTGTCACTGTTTGGCAGGCCTGGGCTGGGTTCAAACCTGCCAGCTCCAATGTATGTGGCTGGCGCCCTAGCCACTGAGCTACCAGTGCTGAGCCTTTTGGTTTTCTTTTTAAGCATGTTCATTTGCTGGTAAGAATGATCCATGAACATAAGAGAAAACACATGATCTCATCTGACCGAAAATAATGTGTACAATTCAACAACATTTCTTCATGATAAATAACTTCAGTAAACTGAATAATAGAACATTGGGAAGTCAAAACGCTATTGCAAACAAGATACAATTGGCAAAATACTAGAAGCACTGTACTACAAGTCAAGACAGTAACTATCGGCTATGGGTGCGGTGGCTGTCACCTGTAATCCTAGCACTCTGGGAGGCTGAGGCAGGTGGATTGCCTGATTTCACAGGTTCGAAATAGCCTGAACCACAGGGAGACCTCATCTCTAAAAATAGCAGAGCATTGTGGTGGAAGCCTATGGTCCCAGCTACTTGAGAGGCTGAGGCAAGAGAATCACTTTAGCCCAAGAGTTTGAGGTAGCTGTGCGTTGTGACACCATGGCACTCTACCAAAGATGATGAAGTACGATTCTGTCTCAAAAAAAAAAAAAAAAAAGTTACTATCTTTGGTATTATGCTGGAGAAGGATGATTGGTTTTGTGCCTAGGAAAGCAATGTGGTCAGAGCTCTGCTTTGAAAGCAGTTTCCTATAGGCACTGTATGCTGGATGGGAGGCTTTAAAAATGCTTGATATGCCCAACAGGGGTGAGGAACCTTGTGTGTGGCCTTTTGACTGAATCCAAATTTTATAGAACAAATCCTTTTAAAGCATTTCAGAGTAGCCACCTATGATTTCTAAAAATGCTTGTTTATAAAACCTTATAAATAGCACTCTTAATTTCTTGAAGAAAAAAAACAGCTTCTTAAAATTTGGGTTTTCTACAGAAACCTAGGCTAGTCAGGAATGCAAAGCAGGCTTCTGCATACTATAAAGTTGCAAAAAGGGCACCCACAGGTTCCAACTGGACCCCCAGATATGTTTTCAAGAAAAAAATACAAAGTCACCATGTAAAAGTTGAGAAATAATTCTAAAAATCACGTATCTAACTTCTCAGGAGAAAGGAATAGATGAGGCTACCTCTGGACTCTAAGTGGCAAGCATGTGTTGTCCTCCGGCATGCTGTAGTTCCCAGCCTGTGGCATGAATGTACACTACTCTCCTGCCTGGTCCTTCTGGCATTTGAGTTAACCCTGCACTACCCCCGATACTGTACATGTGAGACTGACGGTCACCAGCCTCCTGTGTCTCCAGCTAAGAGACTATCCAAAGAATTCTTAATCTTCATCCTACCTCCAGTAGCTTTAATGTATATAGCTTGTTTTCTTGACAGTCTTAATTTCTGGTTTTAGTCAAGAAGGGTACTTCACAACATAAACATAGATTATCATCAAATGATATTTGTCAAGTGACAGAGTTAAAAACAATCACACAGGTGGCCATAAAGATGGTGTGCAATTTAAAATTGCATACTATTTTAAATTGCACATGAACTTTATGGCCACCCTGTGTTTAGTTCCTTTTTAACATTGGTGCATGTTTCCTCTTGAAGTTGAGAACTTAATCTTATTTTTATCAGCCCTGGTCTTATCAGGATTCCTAATGGAATCATCAGGATGAGCTATCTTTTGTGATTATTTTTTAAAGTAAAGTTTCTCCTATTCCAATAAAATTTGATAATATGTCTATCAGTAAGAGAGGTAAATATTTAAAAGCTATATAAAACTATGGTAATCTATTTCCTATAGCAGCAATAACAACTTTAGATCAGTTTTTAACTTACTAATAGTTTTTAACTTATTCATAAATAGTAACACAGTCCAGCGGGTTGTGGTGGCCTGTGCCTGTAGTCCTAGCTACTGGAGAGCCTGAGGTGGCTGGATCTTAACACTAGGAGTTTGAGACCAGTCTGGGCAATATGGTGAGACCCTGTCTCTTATTTAAAAAAAAACCAAAAAGTTTTTAATGAAAAAAATTACCTGGGCATGGTGGCACATGCCTATATAGTCCCACCTACTAGGGAGGATGGGATGGGAGGACTGCTTGAGCCCATAAGTTTGAGGCTGCAGTGAGCTATGATTGTGCCATTGTACTCTAGCCAGGGCAAGTGAAACACTGTCTTAAAAAAAAGAAAAAGGCCATGCATAGTAGCTCACGCTTATAATCCTAGCACTCTGGGAGGCCGAGGCCGGTGGATTGCTTAAGTTCACAGGTTCAAGACCAGCCTGACCAGAGAGAGACCTGGACATTATGGTGGGCACCTGTAGTCCCAGCTACTCAGGAGGCTGAGGCAAGAAGATCACTTAAGCCCAAGAGTTTGAGGTTGCTGTGAGCTATGATGCCATGGTACTCTACTGAGGGTGACAAAATGAGACTCTATTGCAAGGAAAAAAAAAAAAGCTAGAAAATGATTTTTGGGGCTCGGTGCCTGTGGCTCAAGTGGCTAAGGTGCCAGCCACATATTCCTGAGCCCACCAAACAACAATGCAAATCAAACCTGAGCCCACCAAACAACAATGACGGCTGCAACCAAAAAGTAGCTGGGCATTGTGGCGGGCACCTGTAGTCAGTCCCAGCTACTTGGGAAGTGGAGGCAGGAGACTCGCTTGAGCCCAGGAGTTGGAGGTTGCTGTGAGCTGTGATGCCATGGCACTCTACCCAGGGGGACAGCTTGAGGCTCTGTCTCAAAAAAAAAAAAACAAAACTATTTTTGGTAAGTATCTGCATCCAACTTTTTCCTGGCCTAAATAGCTAACAGGGTACCTACGGTTTGTTCACTTAGCACATATGCTACAATACCCTAACGATTTACAGATTTACATGTAGGACTGAACACATTTAGTTCTTATACCTGATCATTAGCAAATAAACTGCATAGTTTCATATTTTGAATTTTGGTGCTATTGTTAACTTATTTTCAAGAGGATGAACAGCTAACAAGTGAAATATTATGACTGTGGGAAGGAAGGGAGAAGGAGGCTTTGATGATCCCTTGCCTTACCAAGACTTCACAAACTTGTAGTTGTTAGTAAGAAACCTGGTACCTCCACAATGGCAGTGGGAAAGTAAGGTACAATCCCTATCTAGAAAACATGGAAGTCACTGATAATCACTAGTTTGGGTTTCAAAGCCACAGAGCCACAGATTTGCCTGACACTTGTATTTCTCAAGACATACAAAGGATATGAAGAATTTGTAGAAGTTGGCTTGGTGCCTGTGGCTCAAGTGGCTTAGGCGCCAGCCACATACACCTAAGGTGGCGGGTTCGAATCTAGCCCCGGCCCGCCAAACAATGACGGCTGCAACCAAAAAATAGCCGGGCGTTGTGGAGGTGCCTGTGGTCCCAGCTACTCGGGAGGCTGAGGCAGGAGACTTGCTTGAGCCCAGGACTTGAGAGGTTGCTGTGAGCTGTGATGCCACAGCACTCTACCCAGGGGGATAGCTTGAGACTCCTGTCTCAAAAAAAAAACAAAAAAAAACCTGTAGAAGTCTGGTTCAGGCCATTTTAGCCTTTGAGTATATGGTCAAAGGGGAGATATAATTTTTTTTTTTTGATTTAAGAAATCTTTTGTAGTGACTTACTTTTCTCTATACAGGTTAAGTTTAAGAAATAAAAGGGATAATTTGCCAATGAATAGCCTTCAATCCAACCAATTCTCAGATTCCCTTGGGGAAGTAACCATTTAGTCAACATGCCAGTAGGTGGCACCCTAACAACTTCACCAACCCTTTCAGCAGTTGCCAGAAACCTGCTTTTCCAAAGTACTGTGTATATGTAATTTATACGGTATCAATATGAGTAAACCACACTTGGTTTTTGAGGACTTGGCTCTTCTTGAAACCCCTAGGTAAAAGCTGTTCATTCATACACACCTCAGGAACTTGGAGCCAAGGTAAAGTCCCACTGTTTCCTAGTCCCTGCTCTGTCTTGCCACTGTGTTTCCACTCTTACTCAGAATGCCTTCTCTCTGAAGCTGCTTACCATGCAGCAACACCGAGCCAACTCATTGTGCTCACTGTCTTCAATCGTGTATAATCTCCAGGTTACTCCTCCTACTCCAACCGCTTCATTCCAGACCTGAGCAGCTGGCTTAATTTTCCTTTCAACCCTAACTATACTTTGAAATGGACAACTTACACAATACCTGGGGCTTCACAGTTCCTTACCCTTAATTCTAGTGCTCTTTTCCTCTACACTACTTAAATCCACCATCATGATCTTACCCAGGAATCATAAGCATCTCTGGACAACTCCACGTTTAAAAATGACACCTGGAATTACTATTTTCATCTAATCCTAAAAGTATGATGCCACTTTGCTAACTCTGGTCCCTGGATCATGCTTTGTATGTTAAACACTCATTGTTATTGCCCATATTGAATTGAACATGGAATTTGTCCTGTGACCTTGAACAAATCACCTAACTTGTCTAATAATAAAGTTACCTGGAAGGAGGATCATTAAGACTTAAGTAATTCCAGTCAACCCATGTCTTAAGAGTGGATAGATTCTACATAGTAGCTCCCAGTTCTCTTCTTTTGGACACCCACTGCAGACTAACGCCAATCACTTAGCCACATCTTCACTAATACTAATTTAACCTTGGCAATCTCCTTGCCCAAGATCTTACAACTTTTCCACCCAACCAACACCTGCTATTCCAATTATCCTGGAGAAAGAAGTAGGAGAATAAGACATTACCTAAGTTGATTGATGAGAATGACAGTTATAATGGAGTCAAGTCTTTACACTTCTCTCTAAACCAGAGATTTTCAAATGGTGTGCCATGAAAATTTTTAGAGATTAAATTATTTTCAGAAGAGCACCCTAAGTATATTTATTCTTTTTTATGCTTTTTAAAAATCAACATAATTAAGTAGTGTACTACAAAAGTTTAACTGTAGGTTCAAGTGTGCCATGAAATAAAAAAAGGCTGAATAACGCTGCTCTAGACCATCTCAATCTCATTCTTCCCTTCCTTCTCTTACCTCTCTGCTTTTTTATTCTAGCGTTGATTCTCCATCTCTCTTCACCAAAATACTTCCCTCCAGGTTTTGTCCTCAGTTTTCTTCTCTGGGCCATGGAGGATGGGCTTTAGGTTTATGAAATCCTGGAAATGCAATGGTGTGCCCGTGCCTGTCAGGCAGGATCCATAATTCCTTTCATATGATTCTTGGAGTCTGTGAACAGCAGCAACAAAAATTAATAACCACTTATTTGATAGTTCTGTATTAGTTTGGCTATGCCACCTACTCGTTGTGGGACCATAGGCAAGATACCTTCTTAGAAGTTCCTCTTCAGTATGATTGGGATTAAAATACCTGCCCTATCAGGGCTTAATATGAGAATGCATGTGAAATATCTGGCACTACCTCGGGCACATTAAACACTTAAGTAGGTAAGTATTACTTAAACATAGTAATAAATCGAATGTAAACACTGCCTATTTTTCCCAGGTAAACTTCATCCACCCCCATGACCGCATTCACCATCTATAAGAGAAAGCCTAGCTAGGTGTGGTGGTGCATGCCTGTAGTCCCAGCTACACAGAAGGCTGAGGCAAGAGGATTGAGGTTGCTGTGAGCTATGATGCCATAGCACTCTACCTAGGGTGACAGAGTGAGACTATCTCAAAAAAAAAAAAAAGAGAGACATCTTTCCATCACAGTTTTACAGCTCAAACTTTCCTCCCAAGCTCCATCCAAATTATAGCCAACTGAGTACTAAACCTGAATTTCCCACCAGCAACTCAAATCCATTGGTCTTTCTGTCTCTGTTATCACACATTTCACTGAAAGCTCGTCAATCAGTTTGGCAAGCTAGAAGTCTGGAGTCATCTTAGACTTATTCTTCCTGTTACTGTTCAACAGAATAAGACCTCAAGTCTGTTGGTTCTACTTTTATAAGATTTCTGGTATCAGTCCTCTTTATAGCTATGGTCAGCCTTAGTTTTGAAACTGCATAGCACTCACCTGGATTATTGCAACAGTTTTGTAACATTTTTGTTCTAAGGTTCTTACCTGTTTTGTCTTCCATTGGTTTTGGAGGGCCCTATGTGATGGGGGATTTTTTTTTTTAAGTATTAAATTATAAATGTTTGATTATCCCTGTCCCCGAAAAGGGTTTCTATGGCTCACAGCCTCACCCTCCAGTGCCAGCTATGGTCAGTGGACTTTCACTGTGGAAAATGATAACAAGTGCCAAGAATTACAACCCTCCAAGGGGAAAGACTAGTTTAACTGCCATGAGGAACAACAGAATTTCTTAGAACAAAAAGGATACTGCAAGAAGATTAAGAAGGGAAAGGGCCTTAAAGTTGATTTTAAAAAAGAGAGCTTTTGGATTAGGACTTGGGGTGGGGGTGGGGATGTTGGAGGCAAAAGAGTGAAAACTCAAGAGACAGAGATTTAAATGCTCCTTTGATTTTTGATTTTCCTTGGATAGCTTTGACTTGGCAGCTGCATGGTACTAGAGGTAGACTGTGAAGTATCTCTTGGCTCTGATTAGTTACATTTGGGTTAATCTGAGCCTGATCCTGTATGTTCCTTAGAACAAAGGCCCCAGGACCTTCAAGGTTCTTGACAATCAGACACCAACTTCTTCAACCCCACCAGCCCGTCCCATCCAGCCAGCTTCACACAGATTCTCTAGTCCTCACTTCTCCACACCTGTGCTTGCCCCAGTTGCTCTCTCTGCCTAGAATGACCTTAGCCTGCTTGCCTTTCTGCCAGGTGAAATCCCATATGACAAGATCCAAAACTGCCAGTCCTCTTGCTATCCAGGACCAGGTTACCTGAAAGGGAATGTAAGTAGAAAGAATAAGAGATCCAGTAGTTGAACCTTTTCATGGGAGGTTTGAGGGCACAGTGAAAGGGTTTATCCACAGAGAGCTTATGACTGGATTTAAGTAGAACGCTGAGTAACTGGTTGATCTAAGGAAGGCATGGGAAATCCATAGGGCAGTGAGGTTGAAGCCAGCCTGACTCTTTCATGTAAGGTGTGGACACTTTTTTCCAACACACAAAGCAGTTGCTCCCCTTCTTTAAAGCAACACAAATTATTTTTATTAGAATGATTTATTTGCAAATGGTAAAAGTGGCCAGATTTCTAGAGATAAAAACATTATGTTGTGCTCTGAATAATACTAAAGTGCACTTGTGTTGCCAGTAAGAGAGGAATGCAAAAAGCAAGGAAGAGATTAGATCAGCTCTGGATAAAAAAAACTTATCTCTAAAAAAACCATGTCATGGAATATAAACATAAGCAAGTACAAACAATATATTTCTCAATCCATCAGCTCCCCTTGTGCCTTTCATGTACCTTCAGGGCCAGAATACAGTAGTGTTCACTTTTTATACAGTTACTAATTTATCCGAGGCAAAATTTTATGCCCAAGTATTTACCTTGTACAGGAGGGAGACGATAGTGAAGGTGCTTCACCAGGTGTCTGATGCCAGCAATGAAGAAGTCAGACTCGACTGAAAGGGTGTGGTATCACAACGAGGCAGAAACATGTAAAATAGTTCATGCAGCCAACCTTATTTATTGAGAAGTCCTAATTTTATTGCCCGTTTAGTAACATGTTTGTTCCACAAACTAATTTCTCATAAAGCAAAGCACAACTTTTTCTTATAAATAGTATAAATTATTTTATTTACAGAAACTTGTTACAAAACAAATAGACTATATATTTCTTCTCTTTTAAATATCCAAAGTAATTTTCTATCCCTTGACATTTGTTCATGTTCTATACAGCAGCCAACACAAAGTCCAGCTGAGATGCTCTTGATTATGTGTACAGATTATCAAACTATTCACACATTTTTAACACAGGAGATTGCTTATAGAACCAAGCTCAAAAAAACAGCAAAATGCTTTCAAGGCCCTACATTCACACCGACAGTAAGTAGTGCTCATTTAAATGATCTGAAAATGTAAAATGTTTTGCACAAATAGTAAAAATGATTATTTTCTGCTAAACCATGAAAGTTTTAACAATAATTTTCAAAGCCCAATCCACTCTCCCCCCTGGACAGAATGAGAGACATTAAGAAATTCCTTGGCAACAGAACTCTTGCAGGAAGACAGCTGCCTTTATAAGTTACATTTTTCAAATTATACATTTTTTTCAATGTTCTCAGAGGTACTTCTTTGTATTATATTTTTGGAATACAAAATATTTTAGCTATTCTATTTTAAACTCTGTATTTCATGAGTGAATAACAAAACGGACATATCATGTAAGTTGCTGGCTGACAAAAAGATTTGTAACCCTTGGTACCACTGGGCAATCCATCACCAGTTGAATTACTGTGAACCAAAAGGTCTGAATTTTTAAAATACCTTATAAAATTACCAGCATTGGTTTTCAACTCCTCCCCTAAAATTTTAGAAATGATATTTAGGTGGAAAAAGCAAACTCCAAAAATTTCAACTGAACATTCAAGTCTTTTTAAAGAGATTCTGTCTAAGCTTAAAACTAGGTTCAGGCACTTTCAGTTTTTTCCATTAGTTTTAAACCACTTCACATACTAACACACATGTGCTCAGAGGACATATACGCGCGCACTCACACACACCCACACACATAAAACAGTAACAAAAGAAAAGCAGTGTGTCACTTAATTACATGTAGTCTATCAGGAAATCAGGCAACTAGGGAGAAGCAATGCCCACTTCATCTGTATGAATCCACTCCCGAGACATTAAGAGGGACAAAGACTTTCACAGAACAGAGGCATCCCTTAAACTGTAAAGGAGGCAGGTTCTAGGACTATTGGCTTGGCAGTGAACCACTTCAAATTATAAAAAGGTATTTTACTTTATTAATTAATAAATAAATACTAGATGATCTCAATTGTACCAAAACAGGATATCAGAAAAAAAGACCTGTGCAAAAATACATATTTAAATATGTACAATTCATTTTTAACAAAATATGTCTTCTGAAATAGGGATACTTCCATATTTATAATAGAACAAGAAATTCCAAAATAAAGATACAAAAGTAGGTTTTGTATAATTCTTTGTTCATCATTGCAGCACTTTTTTTTTTTTTGTAGGTTAAGAAAACTGCAGGAGTTGTCATGAAATTCTATTGGAAAGAATATAAAAATTATCTTGGTTTTAAATTGATACCAAAGTCTGTCTAGAAACAACCCAAACACTGCAAATTTGGTTTTTGCAAGTTAATTTAATTCAAAAAAATACTTGTACTCCTGTGTTTTAAATGGTCTTAACTGTTCATCATAATAAAAAGTACTAATAGGAGAAAATAAAATATTTGAACAACAGTCTAAAATTTAATAGCACTGTTTAGAATAGGTCTGTTTGTGGCAGGCAGAATCCAAAATGGCTAATTTCCTAATCCCGATGATCTGTGTATTACCGGGAAACATAATGAAATTCAATTAAAACTTCAGTCTAAGAAATCAAATGATCAATACTCACTAATCTAAATATCTACATTATTCTGAATCAACTTGCTAATTAGTGGATTCTAGTCACCTTTCAGAACAACATGATCTGTCTATGAATTCCATTGCTAAAAGCAACTTTATTTATAACCATCAAGTCTCCTTGGCTCTGAAAATAAATTCTACCCATACCCCATTGCACTTGTCACCAAGGAATCAACTAGGTACGTTCTGATTCCTTCTCATCACCTCCTCTCTCTCCCTACTGGGATGGAACAGACTTATTTCTCCTCACCTACACCAAATGGGCCCATCTATATTATCTCCTTCCTAAACTCTCCTATAGTATCATTTACTGACTGATTGCATAATAAGTGAACAGGATACTGTTCATTCCTTCCTTTAAAAAAAAAAATCAATATTTTACATGAATTTATAGTTAAAATATCTGCATAAAGCTTTTGTTTTCTTACTTAAGAATAATTTTATAGTAATTCACATTGATTAGGCTGGTAACCAATTATTTTTTCATTCTACCTGTTGTTAACTTGAAATTCCCTGAAACTGAAGTTTGAAACCCAAGAACTGCAGGAAAAAAAGGATGCACTGACTGACTCTATTTAGGCCTTGGCCAGGGCAATAATCAAAGCCTTGGAAATTTTACCCTGTGTTCAGCAACTTTGTGTGTTCTTCAAAGCAAAAGTGCCTAGTTCTCATGTCAGGAGCTATGGTGGTAGGATCATCCCTTAAGAGGCCCCCAAAATTCAAGGATACCTTCTCTAGCAATGCTGTTTTAATGTATTTCTTTCTTTTGGGATGGAGTAGTAGAAAATTTATCCTAGAGGGCTCTACAACTCTCTCTGGAAAATAGCTGGCACTAATCCCAAGAAAGGAGGGTTTGTGTGAGGAAAATCTCATACATGCATCATACAAAATCTCTGTATGGGGACACGTACATGTTCTCTAACTCCCTCCCTGTGTCTGCTCTGTGTCCCAACCACATCCAGATGAGTATCTGAAGGGGCAATAAGGGGGATGCAGACACACACCATGCTGGGAGCACCTGGAGCAGAAGGCTAGACTTAGCCCCTGGACAGAATCCAGAGAGGAAAATGGGGGTAATGCAGAGAGTGCCCTGGGAACAATTAAGTACATCCTAAGAACACCACTTTTAAAAGACAATATTTTAAAAGCAGACTGAGTAGGACAACCAACCCAATCTGACATGCTGTTGACTGTGAAAATTTAAGGATAAGAAAATTCCATCTCTTTGGAAATTTTAGAAAAAGTTTTTTCTCCCTATAGTGATTTCCCCATCCTTCCTTACCCCCAATCTGGCTTCCTTTATCAAAACTAGCTTGGTGTTTCCTTTATCATCTCATAGAATTGCTTTTGTACTATGAAAAGCAAGCCTCTAAAATGATTTGTAGTTGCTCTCTGGGCATCAACAGTTTCAAACCAGTTCATAAGTTAGAAACTTCTGACAGCTTTTCATCCGAAATGACTTGCAAAAGGCTGGGTTACTTTGTCCTGGTGCCTTGCACTAGTGTCCATACGCCATTCCTGAAACATTTCCATAAAAATCTAAAGCCAAATTCCCTTCTCTAGAGGGCTCCTCAGGGTACAGTTCTTTCCCCTCTGGAAGATCTCCAGTCTCAGTTACGGTGCCTAACTGCTGGAGAGTGACCTACAGAAGACAGCATTAAAAACAGAAAGGCGGGGAGAAGGTTCTACAGTAACGCTCTTGCCATTTTCCTGCCCAGCCAATCTACTCAAAGACTAGCTCCATGATATACTGCAAGTTTAAAAACAAAACAAAAACAAAAACTTCTCACAGATTGGTAGCAAGCAGTCCAGACCACTTTAACACTGATAAAAGCAATTCGGTGGCTGAACTTGATCCAGTGTCCTTTATGAGTACTCACTGCTACAGACATAGCTTCAGGGAAATCCTTGTTAAAACAACAGCCCAGCAGGTCTCTACCCTTGAGGCCCACAGGAGGTTGGGAAAACAGACTCAAAGGCATCGTGGAGTCCAGAGTGCTGAGTGGAGGTGTAACTTGTCCTCAAAAGTGTCCGGATTATTCCTCCCCGTGCTATTTTCAGCTGTCAGGGACGTGCCTTTGGCTTTCAAAAAAGACAGGGTGGGGAAACAATGAAAATGTAAGTAAGCAGTTGTATACTGTACTCCCCTGATTCTATAAAGAGTATTCCAAAGGCCACATTCCACTAAAGTCTCCATTGATGGCTATGCCAGGAGCAGTGAGCTATAAATTTGGCTTTAGCTTTTAGGCACAATTATTTTAAAGGTATATTTATAGAAAATTGACTGGCCTGGGTTTCTAGTTTAGGGAAAGGCTCTCTTGTTTATTTACCTTTGGTTTTATTTACTGATTTTGTGTCCTTGAAGGTATTCCAGGTTGTTAACTGAGACGCAAACAAGGTCAAATGGGCCAGCACACACAGGTGTGACAGCTCACACCCAAGGCAGGGCCTAAGTTGAGGGAGAGGGAACTCTGGCCTTCACAGTGGGCTATTTTTAAGTAGTAGAAGCCACAAATAGTTTTTTTTTTTGGGGGGGGGGGTGCCTGTTTAACCCCATCACCCAGGCTTCCCAGAACAGCCCACTTCATTTCCTTGTTAAGAAGAATTCAACCAGCTCAGTTATCTCTGTTATAAAATCAGCTCTACAAGGAAGAACAAATTGAGGTACCTATTTTTCTAAAAGTAGCATTCTTAAAAGCATTTTGGGGTTGTGGGTCCCTTTGCAAATCTGATTAAAGCTATATAATTCCTCCTGCAGCTAAATGAACATAGACATTAAAATCTGTAACACTTCTGGGTGGCGCCTGTGGCTCAAAGGAGTGGGCACCGGCCCCATATGCTGGAGGTGGTTGGGTTCAAACCCAGCCTTGGCCAAAACTGCAAAAAAAAAAAAAAAAAAAAAAAAAAAATCTGTAATACTTCTTAGGGTTGAGTGATCTTCTGAGCTTGAGCATGGGCCCCCTTAGGATTTGTGCAGCAAAATAAAAAGTATTCCACTGCATGAAGAAAGTATTTTTTAAACACAAACTTAAGTCAAAACCAATTTTACAGCAAAAACCCTAAAGTTAGGCTGTTTGGGTCTTCCTAGCGGGACACTGTCTTTAAGGTAAAAACTAGAGGTGGCAAACCAACAGATCATGAGCCTAATTTGATCAACAGATACGTGGGCTATACCAGACTTAAGGAAAAATGAAAGGAAAAAATTATATATATATAGCTTTTAGAAATGGTCAAATTTCACATGCAAGTTCCTGTCTGCATTTCTTCTTCTTTTTTTTTTTTTTCCTTTTTGGGACAGAGTCTGACTATGTCACCCTCGGTACAGTGCTGTGGCGTCACAGCTCATAGCAACCTCTAAGTCTTGGGCTTAAGCAATTCTCTTGCCTCAACCTCTCCAAAGTAGCTGGGACTACAGGTGCCCATCCCAATGCCCAGCTATTTTTTGGTTGCAGTTGTCATTGTTGTTTAGCAGGCCCAGGCCGGGTTCGAACCCACCTTTCTTGGTGTATGTGGCCGGCACCCTAACCACTGAGCAACGGGCGCTGAGCCTGCCTTTCTTCTTAAAGCCAGTAACAAGCGTACAGAAGCAGCTGCTTTGTGTAGATGGGGCACTCATCTACAGAAGAGGGACTGTCACTCTCTATGGAACCCCATCCAGCCTTCTTCTGTCCCTTATTTCTTGTGAACAGTAAGATCTACACCCCTTCCTAAATGAAGACAGAGAGTGCTCAATGCTAAATATGTGAGAGGGATGTAAGAGGACAGTGGAAAGACCATTAGGGGCAGGGGCATGTCTCATCAGGACACTACTACTCTCAGAGGGCATTTTTCAGAGTGTGCACCCCGTTTCTTGCTGTGTTTGGACTGCACTGTTATGCTTATCCTAAGCTATAACTTAGTTACTTAACTACAAACCAAGAAGGCAAAGCACAACTTGTATTAGTCCAGGGAACCCCAGGTCAAAAAGCCAAATGACATACAAACAGCCCATAATTTAAGCAGCTATTTAAATTCATGGGATATTTCCCCCATATACCTTTGGCATTAGATGTTAATTTACACAAATTTTGGAGGAAAATTGTATCACAGTAAGAAACTCATTGCTATTTTCTGAAAAAGTCCTAACCTGGCATTTGAGTTAAGTTCTAAAGATGAGGAAGGTAGGGGGAAAAAAACAAAAAAGAGCCTCACATTTTAAATCAGGGCTCTGGGGTGATGCTGTTGAAATTCCTGTTCGTAAGCAAGGTGAAGAGATATCCTGATGAATAAAATAACAAGATGAGAGATGAGCTGGAAGTTAGAGCAAAGGAAGCTGGAAGAAAGCTTCAGGGGAGGTCAGGAGAAAACAGGTGGAGCAGCATTGAAAAAAGACAAAGATACAAGTGAGAGAGAAAGTCAAAATTATTACTCCAACACCCACTTCTCTAGCAATGGGCTCACATTCACAATCCTTTTTAATTTTTTTTTTTTTTTTTGAGACAGAGCCTCAAGCTGTCCCCCTGGGTAGAGTGCTGTGGCATTACAGCTCACAGCAACCTTCACTCCTGGGCTCAAGCGAGTCTCCTGCCTCTGCCTCCCAAGTAGCTGGGACCACAGGCGCCCGCCACAACACCCGGCTATTTTTTGGTTGCAGCCATCATTGTTTTGGCGGGTCCAGGCTGGATTCGAACCCATCACCTTAGGTGTATGTGGCTGGCACCTTAGCCACTTGAGCCACAATCCTTTTTAAACTATCAGCATAGATGAGATTTTTTGTTTTCTGCTATACCCATACTGAATCCTGTTTCCCTCCTTCACTTGAAAACAGGGAGAATGTACGGGCTGAGATTTAACCAGAATATCTGAAATTCTTTGAGGCGAAAAATATTAAAACTCTTTCTTTTTAAATCTTATATCACTCCTTTCCAGATCAGTCTGGTTTTAGCCCAGCTTTTTTCAAAGGAACACACTGAGAACCACATCTAGGAAACAATATCTGCCTCCCTCCTTAGCAACACTGTATTATATGACACAATTATCAACACTGGAGCAATACCTTGCCGGCTATGGAGAGGAATTCCCTTCCAGTTCTGATTTTGCTGTCATGCCCAATGCCCTCTGAGGCACTACTTGCTAACTGCATTACCATGGTTTCCTTACGTACAATCATCTTCCAAAGACATCAGAAAATCTGGCAGAGTTTCTGTTTACCCTTCATATGGCCACAAACTCTTCCTTTTTAAAAAAAGACACCAAGAAGCTGGATGTCTGTTTCCAGGCAAACTAACCAACCCATCCACACAGATTTCCAAGTTGGCAAAAGGTCCCACAGGAGAGGAAATGGGCATTCCCATGGGGCTCACAGTCCATTTCCTACCTGATGAAGGAGGGAATTGTTCAGTCCTTGTGCCCCTGGGATGGTGCCTGTGTGTTTCATGTGGACGTTGTTCATGGCTGGCACTTTGGCAACCTTTGTGGGTTTGCTGCTGCTATTGTTGATGCTGCTTGAGCTAGGTGAGCACTTTCTTTTCTTTCCTATGAGTTTGTCTAGAGGAGTGTGTGAGTGTGGGAAACTGCCATGGGAGTTGACAGGCAGTTCGTTAGACTGGTGAACGAATGGGCCAAGAGAAAGAGTGGAATCGCTGCTGTTCACCATCACACTCATCCTCTTGATGGACTCCGCAGGGCTCCCGCTGGCGGGGCCCCTCCCTGCCTGGTCCTGCCGGATGCTCACCGAGTTAGCTTTGTTTGTCACACAGTTGAGGCCAATGCCATGGGAAGATGTTACCACTGAGGGGTAGGGAGGCCCAGAGTGAGCCACACAGTTTTTCCTAAAAGACTCCATGGAATGAGAAGAAGAGCAGGAGGAGGAGGAGGAAGAATGAACTAACAGTGGGGAACTACTTTTGCGTTTCTTTCCTGAGCCGCCACTGGTACTGCTACTGGCATTGCTACTGGCATTGTGACAGTTAGTGCTATTACCAGAAGACTCCTTGGGCCTTAAAGACTTGCTGGATTTCAACTTCTGAGGTTTCCTGGACATAGGGGAGGAAGGGACTGAGGAAAGGCCAGAGGGTGTGGAAGGAGACGAGGATGACGAGGACACTTGTCTGGACTGCATACTGCACACAGGATCCGTGGCCCCTGAAGCGGCAGGCTGTGCATTCAGTGTGGTTCCATGAGCTGGTACCGATTTGCTGTGTGGGGAGATGCAGGTGGATGAGAGCAGAGCTGGGGATGGAGAGACAGTGGCTGCTGCAAGATAGCTGACCCCGCACTGTGATGTCGGCACAGAGTTTGTCCGGTGAGGAACACGTGTGGAAACAGGTGTTGTGGTACTGGACACTGGTGGGATTTTCCTAAAAATGGGAGAAGACAGTAAGTGATATTCACCATAGCCATTCATGAAGACTTTCAAATGGGAACCCCTTCGCCTCTGACTCTGCATCAGAATGATTGCTCTGAAATACAGTCTCTTCCCTCCTTTAAATTCTTTAATGCCTACCGGGGCAGTAGGGGATGGTGTGTGCGCCTCTCCTCTGCTACGCCCCAGCTTCTCACTCCACCTTCTACTCCAGCTCCCTGCTTCCAGCCACGGATCTTCCATATATTCCAGGAAAATGCCATGACTTAAGACCTCAATTTTTGCCCTTCTGTTAAGTTTCTGTTTATTGTCACTCCCTTAGGAAATCTGCCCTGAACATCCCAACTTGTTTATTTCCTCAAGGACTCACACTGTGGTTTTTTTTTTTTTGTTTTTTTTTTTTTTTGCAGTTTTTGGCCAGGGCTGGGTTTGAACCCGCCACCTCCGGCATATGGGACCACTACCCTACTCCTTTGACCCACAGGCGCCGCCCCACACACTGTCTGTTTTTAGACTTTGTAAGACTTCGGGTGATGGCTCGGCGCCTGTGGCTCAAGCGGCTAAGGTGCCAGCCATGTACACCTAAGGTGGTGGGTTCGAATCCAGCCCGGACCTGCCAAACAACAATGATGGCTGCAACCAAAAAATGGCCGGGCATTGTGGCAGGCGCCTGTAATCCCAGCTACTTGGGAGGCAGAAGCAGGAGACTTGCTTGAGCCCAGGAGTTGGAGGTTGCTGTGAGCAGTGAAGCCAGGGCACTCTACCCAGGGGCTCAGCTTGAGGCTCTGTCTCCAAAAAAAAAAAAAAGGACTTCGGGTAATTTCAATGTGTGAGGGGTAATCACAAACTCCTTTGCAGCCAGAACTATCCACATCTTAATTTTACCACTATAGCCCTAGGGCTCAGCACAATGTGAGAAATACAGAAGAAACACTCAATAAACATGAGGGAATTCAGGAAGGAATGGAGAAAAGGGAAGGGCAGAGCTAATTAGCAACTGCTGGGTCCTAACTATTGGCCTGAAGGACTGCACAAGGAAATAAAGCCTCAGAAATCTCAGGGATTTTCAGTCCCAGTGTTATAACAATGTATTCTGTTCATAATGTCTGGGCAAGGTATTTATTCAGGGCTGAGGGAGGTGCTTAAAGAGTCAGAGCAAGGAGGCCCTCCTTTTATTTCAGCTCTGATTTTGAAATGTGACAGTACCAAAACTTCAAAAACTCCAATGACAGAACTAAAACCAAGGTGGCAAAATAGAAAGTGGCCTGACTAGAAGGCCAGTGCTAAGCCTGCCTTGATCTTGACTTAATGCAATAGCCCTGGCTGACCCTGTCACTATCCTAGCTGGGGCTCTATTTCCTCATCCTTCAAGAGAGAGGTGGCCTAGACTGCTGCCAAAGCGCTTTCCAGAGGCTTTTAAAGAACCACAGTTACTAAAAAAGGAATTAACGACTGTGAGCATTTGCACCTGCGTTCAAACCCCCTTCAGAAGTGCAGCCTTGGTCTGCAGCTGGTGCTTCTCAGCTCCAGTGGCCACACCTCAGAGTTGCCTTCGCAGCTGGAGCTACACCTACACCCCCACCAATTACTCTAGAGCAGCAGTTCTCAACCTGTGGGTCGAGACCCCTTTTTAACAATGAAAATACACTGCAGCATTAGGAAAGTTAAGAACCACTGCTCTAGAGTCTCTGGGGGAAGTGGGGGCAAATACTAGTAATTTCTACATTTCTCCAGGAGATTCTAGTATGGGGGCCCAGATTGGGAAGATGGGCTCTATTTGCTCCCCAACCCCTACCTCAAGAGCAGAGCAAACACTGTCATTACCTGAAAGGTTTGTTAGATATGCTGAGTTCCTGGGCCCCACCCCAGACCAACTTCAAGAATCTATATGGCAAGAAGGCTCCCTGGTGATTCCTTGGGCTGGGCACGCTAGAGAAGCCTGGCTCAGTCTTTTTTTTTTTTTTTTTCAATAGTTGCCCTGGGTAGAGTCCTGTGGTGTCAGAGCTCACAGCAACCTCAAACTCCGGCTCATGAGATCTTGTTTCAGCCTCTTGAGTAGATGGGACTATAGAAACATGCCACAACACCCAGCAATATTTTTAGTAGGGACAGGGTCTTGCTTTTGCTCAGGCTTGAACTCTTGGGCTCAAGCAATCCACTGGACTTGACCTCCCAGAGTGTTACGATTAGGGGCTAGGGGGCATTAGCTAGGGCACAGGTGAGAAGCCCTGCTCTAAAGTGAATCCAGGCACTATTGCTCGCTGGGAAGTGGCTCCTCATGGCCACCAGGTGGCTCAGAAAGCCAGGCCTAAAGACCAGGCTGCCTGGAACCGACTCCTAGGGAAAGGAAAAGGTTTCCAAAGAAGAAAGGATGTGGATCTCTCTGGATGACCATTACTAGTTCCTTTTAAAAAAACTCTTTTTGGTAATTCATTTTAGTTTTTTTTTTTTTTCAACCTCCAACTCTTGGGCTGAAGCCATCTCTTGCCTCAATTTTTCTATTTTTAGAAGAGACAAGGTCTTGCTTTTGCTCAGGCTGGTCTTAAACTCGTGAGCTCAAGCAATCCACCTGCCTTGGCCTCCCAGAGTTCTAGGATTATAGGTGTAAGTCATCATGCCCAACCTAGTAATTCATTTTGTATAAAGAAGAGGCAAAATGAGTGGCGCCTGTGGCTCAAAGGAGTAGGGTGCCAGCCCCATATGCCAGAGGTGGCAGGTTCAAACCCAGCCCCGGCCAAAAACTGCAAAAAAAAAAAAAGAAGAGGCAAAGTAAGAATATGTAGTCATATTGACATGTATCTGCACAAATAAAGATATACAAGAAACTAATAAAAGTAATTCTGTCTGTGGGGGTGGGAGTAGGAAATAGTGTAGGGGACAGGGTGACCAAGACCTTGCTGTGTGCCTCTTTATACTCATTTTTCTTTTTTTACGCCAAGAGAACATATTACCAATTCAAAAAGTTAAAAAACAAACAAAAATCCTTTGAAAACCATCCCAGACACTTCTTAGGGGAAGTAGAATAGTGGTTCTAAATCAACAGAAGGTAAGTGATTCACGGAAATCATAGGAGCTTGGAAAGGGCCCTTGGGGTCATGACCATGCTCCAGAGGAAGTGCTGATTCTAATTTCACCACTGTCCAGAGACTCCACAAACTGAAGATGGTGTATTTCATATTCAAATCCCATTTCTATTACCCTTAAATGTACCACAATAAGCAACCAGAAGGCATGGGGCCAGGAAGGGTGTTACTCAAATAGGAAGGGAAGATTTTTGGCTAAGCCAGTAAGATGGGGCCTGGATCACTTTGAACGTCTCCTTGAGTCTCTCAAAGATGGCACCTGAGAACAATTCTCTAAGTGAGAAGTGCTGATCTCCTCCCAGCAAATTTCTGGGACTGCCTGTAAAAGCTGCCCAAATGGGCTGACAGCACCAGGGCCTGGCACCACGCTCCAAGTTCCCATCTGCCCATAGCCTATATGCCAGCTCATCACCAAGCCAATATGTCTCTTGCTACAATGTTGATTTTTTAAAACCAAAGGTCACTTTAATGAAAAGAGATGTGTCTTCCTCCCTGGAAGCAAGTGATAAGGGCAGTCAGCTTTGTGACAACACAGAGAGAGGGTCGACAGCAGAGTCCACCTCATGATCCTACTTTTCACAACACAAAGAAGGAAATTTGTCCATGGAAGCCACAAAGAACTTAAACTCATTTTTACTCAAACTGCTGGCCATGAGCCACTCATCAATATAGTAACAACAAAACACTTGGGAGGGCCCTTCTAAACTCTTGAGAGTACACCATCCCCATAGTTTAGTGAGATCAATGAGCTCTCCAAGTCCCAATTACTGAAGAAATATGAAGCTGAGATCTCATGGACCTTAGGGTGTTCTGACATGGAGAAAACCCCCCAAATCCCAATAAGCCACTCCCCTATTTCTGTCTCTTAGCAGAGACAATGCTCCTTCATAAAGACAGACCACTTCTTATTCAGTAAAACTAGGAAGAAATATAAAACAGAAAAGCAGAGTAACTCTGCTGTGTCTGATTTTCCAAATAAATGTTAAGTCCTAATAATGATCAAAGAGATGGTTCTTTGGACTATAGACTATCCATGACCTCTGACCAGCTTCTTCTGACTTTATTAGGAATTCAAGGCAGGGAGGCAAATGAATGTACTAACAAAGTCCATTCATGGAGGCAGGAGTAAATAAATGATGCCCAAACAGAGCATCTGGGATGGCCAAATTGAAAATTACTGGACAGTCCCTTTAGCAAGCCTCAAGGTTCATTAAAATAGGTCCCTCCACTAGTTCCCCAAGATGCTTCCCTAAAAATGGTTCACAGGTCAAAAGAGCGTGGGAGATATTCCACCTTATACAAGACATCCCTTGCTTTAAGAGCTGCAAAGCATAGTGCACATTAAAGGCTCTGAGATTTTATAGTAATGAAAACAGTCTGGGCTATGGGAACAACCTTCACTGAAAATCCTGTCTGGGAAAGACTAGCATACATTATGCCATGCAAGATATCTTAAATTGCAAACCAGAGCACATGGCTCTTCTACCTAAAACCTTCCACAGCTTACAACTGCACTCAGAATTAATTTCAATGTCACCTGGCCCTGCTAGTCTCTCAGACCTCATCTTGTATCATGTTCACTTTCTTGCTGTTTTCTCAAACAAGCTGACTTCTTTTTTGATTCCAGACCTTCATGTACCTGATTCCCTCTGCCTAAAGCCCACCCCCCCCATACCACTCCAATAGCTGCTCTTTCCATCCATCTAACTCAGTTCCAGGGCTGCCCACACAGAGAAGCTTCCCCTGAACTCCTCTGGCCTGTTGTTTTTCCATCTTGGCTCTTTACTTGGAAACAAACTACCTGTAGGTCAAATCCTGGCCCTACTACTAACCCAGTGGTTCTCAACCTTCCTAATGCTGTGACCCTTTAATACAGTTCCCTCAAGTTGTGGTGACCCCGCAATCATAGAATTATTTTTGTTGCTACTTCATAACTGTAATTTTGCTACTGTTATGAATTATAATGTAAATATATGATATGCAGGATATATTGTCATTGTTACAAAGGGGTCGCGACGCACAGGTTGAGAACTGCTGTACTAACCTGTTACATGGCCTTGTATCTCAATTTTGTTATCTGTTTAAAAAAAGGGGGGGAGGGATCATGGCCACCTGACAGAATTTTGGAAACTAAATACATTTAATAAGCTGTCTGGCATATAGTAAGCTTTGAGTAAGTCTTAGTGACTGTCATTATTTGCTGCCATTATCTCCCTTATGACAAGCTGTAATCTCCTTATTTTCTATAGACTGGTTTTTGTCTCCCCCTCATTCCCAACTAGACTATAAGCTTCAGATAAGTGGGAGTTCTGCCCTGAACCCCAGCACTCAGTATATATCGTTGCTGAATGATGAAATAATCAACACCAAGATGCCTTCTTCTCAAGGCTATTTGAAGACCATGCCTTCACTTAGATAAGCGTATCTTCATACAATCTGTCCCACACAAAACAGAGATGATGCAGCAGCAAGCACAGTCAGCCGCCCTCCCCACCCCCAAACAGGCACTCACTTCCACAGCTGCGCGTTCAGATGCTTCTCCACCATGAGGTTGAGGGCGCAGCGAAGCCGGTTCCACCTGGAGTCAAACACGTAATAGCCTCTTCCAATCTGCCGGCTCCCAAATGTGCAAAACTGAAAGAAAGAACACAGCCATGCATGCTTGCTAAATGCCATGCCAGCACGCCCCTCCTTCAGGAAAGGAGCTCATCAGGACAGACAGACCTGACTAACAGCAGGGGCTAAGAAGCGTGAGAGTGACAATGCCTATGTCTACCCCTGAGTTTCACGAAGAGGAAGGGGAAAGCAATGAGATGCCCCCCAGACAGAGCACCTGCTGCCTCTGGGTGCCTTATTCTGAGCTGCTCTCACACCTGGACCGCATCCTCACACATACAGCCGTACCAAGGTTCCTGGAGTGCCCCTGCAATTCCCTGTCCATGCTGCATAAGGTCAAGCGGGGTGGACGTGGAACTTACAGATGCTGGCTGAGGATGACGACCTGAATAATGACAGTCCAGTTTTTCAACAGACTCTTCTTTGTCATCGCCTTCGCCCTCCTCACTGGATAACCGAGAAGCTGGCTCAGTGGCAGGCAGGGGAGGGTGTGGAGACTCATGGACTGGAGGAGGGTCAATGGGGGCACTCCCACCTTGCTGAGCAGGGCAGCCTGGAGGCCTTAGTGAGTAGAAAGTGCAGCACGGATCAGATCACACACCTAGGAATCAGCCACCTTAACTCAGTCAGATACAACAACGAATCCAGAACCACCTATGGGAGGCCTGGGCTCCACCACTAGCACTAGAGGAAAACAGATGATGATCCAGGTGGCTTGGGAATAAAGGACGCTCTCTCCTGAACTGCAAGAGGTGACGTTAAGCTGTTTGCCAAATATTACCATGGGTATAATAACTAGTCCCTCCTTTCTATAGCCACTTGGGTGGCTCAGGTCCTCCTCCTATTCTCCCTAAAGGAGGGGAAATATATGTGAAATTTAACAGAATTTTTTCTTTCATTCCTCTTCAGATTTCAACTGGATTTAGATTAACACTATAAATGAAATACAATGGTCCCTCAGTATTCATGGTTGCATGACCTCCTGAGAATACCAAAATCAAAATCAAAGAATGTGTAAGTCCCTGATATAAAATAGGTTAGGATTTGCTTATAACCTACATGTATTCTCCTATACACTTAAAATCATCTCTATATTACATGTAACTAATACAATGTAAATACTATGTGTTCAGGGAATAATGACCCCCCCAAAAAAATCTGTACATGTTCAGTACAGAGTCAATATTTTTCTCCAGATACTTCTGATCCACAGTTGGAACCGACAGAAATGAAAGGCAAATTGTAACTGGTAAAGTACTCTAAGATAACCTAGGAGAGAGGGGGGGTGATTAAAGCATGAGGTGGTATTACCACTTTACACAGACAGTCTAGAGCCCCTTACTCAAGGGCAGTAATATATTTTTCCTGCATTTATAGTGGACTAGTGGTTCTGGAATTAAGCTTCCTTTTTCACAGATGCAAAAAAACTTCAATGAGAAGGTGGCCAAAGGGCCAGGACCTCGGACCACTCCTCTGGTGTACTGTGCAGAAACTACAAGGCTCATGCTGGCACAGGCTCAAGCACACGCTGGGCTTGCATGACAGAGGTACTTCCACCTTTACACAACTATCCCAAGGATACATGTGAGGTTAAGCAACAGCAAACAAGGGTCAGCATATCCCTAAGCAGAAGCCCTTGTTGGCAACAGCTGAATGGGCTACACCGAAACCCCTCATTCTCTGTATCTTTCTCTTTCTCCTCCCTCTGGAAATTGGATATAAATCCTTTACTTCAACTTAGCTGAATATACAAGCACAAACACATACATATTAAAACATCACTATCTCTGAGGTATGTGGGTTAAGTTCTGTTAAAACACTCTTACCCCTGTTTACTATGTTGCTAAAATGCTAATAAATGCCCGGGCCAAAACCCCAAATGAATGAATGAAAAGATGTTGACACATGGATGCTATAAAAACTCAGGCTGCATACTTGTCCTCAGTAAGAACTGCCACTGCTGTATTTTGTAAGAGGAAAGACAAATGAAAAGGAAACTATGGTCAAAGTCATGTGAATATTCCAGTCGCTGAGCTTCAGCCCTGTTCAGCAGGGTTCAGGAACACCTAATTGTAGCTTTATTCTGCTGCTTACATTTGTAACGAAGAAGAGCCCTGTTTGAAACTTACTGATGAAGTCAACCTTTTTCTTCTCATAGTAAAACTCCATTAAAAAAGTATGTCTATAGCGGGACTGATACATGTTTCTTAACATTATGACCAATACTAGAGTTTTTATTGTGCTATAGGTCTGTTCTCTGAAGAAAGGAGAAAGAGCTGGAGGGCTTGGCTTACCTTGGAAGACTGGGGGTGTGAGGTTTAGGTTTACTAGCTATGAAAGGCTTTGATTCAGAAGGAATCACTCCGTGAGGGTTTTGGTGCGGCTCCTGGGACGTTCTAGGAGGGGCGGGATGCGGGTCCCTGAGAGGCTGCGGTGGTTGCTGAGAGTCCAGATGGCGAATCGATTCCTTTTCCCTGGTTTTGTTTTTGTGCTCAGCTAATAACACATCAAATCGTTTCCTTCTACCCTGGACAGCCCTCCGCTGGGTTAAGGAATGTGTCTAAGGACAAAAAAATACAAAATCTAAAGAATCTGTATAAATGATTTTTATCTATCATACATCCCAAAACACCACTCCCAACAAAAAAAGTATCTGGACCATTAGCATAGTCAAAAACTGCTCAGCATTTGATAAGCTAAAAATCTTAAAACCATAATCTTTTCTCCCTACCTAGACTAGAAGCATGTATCCTAGACTCTTTATGTAGAACAAACTGGGGATGTTACTTACTTTAGAAAAAAGAAATGTAAGCTGTGCCACCTGGTATGTCAGTGAACAGGTGATAGGGACTCAACTTTTGTGCCACAATAACAATTTGTATATCAGGGCTCAATTCCACTAGAAAAATCCCTTTTTAGATCATTTAGAATGTTGAATGTTAATTTAAAAGACACAATTATTACATGAAACTTATCAGAAAGTGGGTTTTTTTTT